TCCATCACTTTCGTCTCTGGACGGCTCACCTTCTTCCTTATCGGGTGCAGCCTCCAAGCAGTGGATTACCAGCCTCCGGCTAGTAGCTGCATGGGTCTCCTTTTCTGGCAAGACCATCGCAACCTGCTATCTTTGGCACCTGTCGTCGAAGGGAGACACTGTTGGCACAGTGCAGGGGATTGATTCCTGGCACGAGGGACTCAGACTCGGGGCCACTGCAAAGGATAGATTCCCACTTCCGAACAATTTATTTATTTATTTAGAAAATTTCTATGCCGCCGCATTTGCCAAAGCCTCGGGGCGGCTCACAAACATAAATAACTTCGTTAAAATAATATAAATTAACAGTATAAATTAAGTCGCCCTGGCCAAAGAATAAAATAAATAAATACTATTAACAGTTAAAACGACATTTGAATAAAAAGGTCTTCGCCTGGCGCTGAAAAACAAATAACGACGGCGCCAGGCAGACCTCTCTGGGGAGCGCATTCCATAGATTGGGCGCCACCGCAGAGAAAGCCCTCCTCTGAGTACTCACCCTCCTAATTTCCTTCACGGAGGGTTCCCGGAGAAGGGCCTCTCCCGCAGATCTCAAGGGGTGGGCGGGCATATATGGACGTAAGCGCTCCTTCAGGTAACCAGGACCCAAGTCGTTTAGGGCTTTATAGGTCATCACCAACACCTTGAATTGGGCCCGGACTTCAATGGGAAGCCAGTGAAGCTGACGGAGGACTGGAGTCATATGAACATAACGCCCGGTCCCCGTCAGCAGCCTGGCAGCTCTATTTTGAACCAGTTGAAGTATCCGGACCGTCTTCAAGGGTAGCTCCACGTAGAGCGCGTTACAGAAGTCAAGTTGGGAAGTCACCAATGCGTGTGTCACTGTCGCCAGGCAGTCATACTCCAGGGAGGGGCGCAGCTGATGGATCAGCTGAAGCTGAAAGAAAGCGCTCCTCACCACCGCTGTCACCTGAGCTTCCAGTGAAAGCTCTGGGTCGAGGAGCACTCCCAAGCTGCGAACCTTGTCCCTCAGAGGGAGTGCAACCCCATTCAGGACAAGATCCAAGTCACCCACCCAGGAGTCCGAGCCACCCACCAGCAGGACCTCCGTCTTGTCTGGATTGAGCTTCAGTTTATTGGCCCTCATCCAGCCTATTACCTTGGCCAGGCACCGGTTCAGCACAGCCACTGCCTCACCTGGATTAGTGGAAAACAAGAGGTAGAGCTGGGTATCATCAGCGTACTGGTGATTCCGCAGCCCACACCTCCTGATGACCTCTCCCAGCGGTTTCATGTAGACGTTAAACAGCAAAGGGGACAAAATGGACCCCTGCAGTACAAATACCTCACGCATCCCGGTCTCTCTGTGTGTTTTAAGGGGTCGCCTCGTAGGCCTGTTTCTAAAGCTAGATGTGACCCCCACTATTCTCACACGCTTGCCTGGACCCACTACGAGCAACTGCGAGGACGTAAAGTATGGATTTCCCCATGTGCACATACATAAATATAAAAAATGAGGGCTTATTTCTCAATGGAGGTAAGCGTGTGGCAGGACTGTACCACTTTATGTTGCCAGGGTCAAAGTGCCAGGTAGACTCACAGAATAGTATGGCCTCTTCCAACTTGATGATGCTCTGATTTTACCCTGCTTTGCTTACGGAAAGTCTCTGGTGTAATCCCAGGTAGAGGTAAGAAAGAATCATGCCTGAAACTCAGAAGAGGTACTTCTCAACGTCAGCAATACTGGGGTGGATGACGAAAGGTCTGTCTGGGGCGGCTCCCGATGCTTCTAACCGCCCATTTGCAACCATTTCTGAAGCTTTCACCCCCCTAAAAGCTTCGCTTTTATTTCTGTGTGACACAGAGTATGCATTATTCCCGCCTACTGCCCTCAGATCTGTGTGTATCCCCAGTCGGGGAGCTCTTGTGTGTGTGTGTGTCTGGCAAGTGGTGCGTTCAGAGCAAGAAACCAGATCTCACTCTGATGTGAAAGGGAAACTCCCGGACTGCTTTTGGAAGCTGTACAGATAAAGGCAGCCCATCTCCCAGGGATCCTGGCTGACCAAAGGCATCTAGGCCCGCTGCGGAAACAGAGCTGGTAGTGTTCAAGAAACCTTTCCCAAGGGGTTCGCTCTTTGCAGGTTTGGAGGTGGGGGATGGCGGGGGCTGCTTGCAGATGCAAATGGTTTTATTTAAGAACAAAAAGCAGAAAAAAGTCTGTTTGGCAGGAAAGGCTTTTAAGGACTTAGTAAAAGAAACACTAAAAAAAAAAAATCATGATTGCAGTAAGGCTGGACAGTCATTTTGAAAAGATTATAAGGTTATACCGAGAGCCAGCGTGGTGCAGTGATTAAAAGTGCAGGATCGGGACTCAGGCGACCTGGGTTCTAGTTCCTGCTCAGCCATGGAGCCTGCTCAGTGACTTTGGGCCAGGCATAGACTCTCAGACCAACCTAACTCACAGGGTTGTTGTTGTGGAGATAAGATTACAAGCAGCAGGAGGAGAATGAAGTAAATCACTCTGAGTTCTTTGTAAAGAAAAAAGGTGGCATATAAATCTAATAAATACTGTCGAGCCTTTTGTTCCTTCCCTGCAGTATTCTGAAGTATCATAAAACTTGCCAACAACAACAATCAGCCTTTATTGTGGGCTCACAGACCCAGCAAATAAAACCGCAAGTCCGGTTTGGCCAGGAAAAGTTTCACCCTTCAAAAACACAAACAGCAAGCAAAATCTCCACGCACGAATACGTGGAGGCGTGAAGGTCCAGGTGACAGCAGAGCTTAGATATCTGTGAAACCGACATACCCAAAGGTTCTGCGTTCACCGTTAGGAATGCCGCAAAAGGCAAGGTCTGCCACTGAATAGAGAGAACTTCGGCACAAGCATGCACTAAACACATCAGCCACATGGTTTCTCCAGACCTCTAATGCTTCGGCAGTTTCATGGGTTTTGCATGTTTTTTCCTGCCTTTCAAAAAGGTTGAACTACATTGCCGAAAGCTCAGTTTCTAGTGAGGGGAGCTTTCAGCTAATATATGCTTGTGTGATTTGCATATTGGTTCCACCCCTTTGTTTGGAGTGCCACCCACCACTGGACCATGGCCCTGGGGAGCCCATGAGATGAAAAAGGTTCAGCATGCCAGGACTATCTATCTATCTATCTATCTATCTATCTATCTATCTATCTATCACCATTCTGTACTGCCCAATGGCCCATGTTCTCTGGCTGGTTTATAGCAATTAAAACCATACAACCCAACATAACAATGCCCTGTGAAAGCTTAAAAGGACAGTATGTATAAAAGTTTTTAAAAATCCAAAGAAAAACCTAGCCGCAGCATGAAAATTCAAAATTCTGTAAGGGTGCACACCCTTGACCTTCCAGTGTAGCTCCCACTGTTCCAACTGTTCAAGCAGCTTCCCCATCAGGGAGGCCCCCAAGCACACATGTGTCCAACAGCACTATCCTGCCCAAGTTCCCCAGCAAACTGGATGCATAGGCACACCGCCTCTAAGTCTTGAGATGGCATGTTGCCACGAGGACTAGTAACTTGGGTTCACACAGCAGCCAACCAGCCATCCACAGAAAACCCACAAGCAGAACCAGAGTGCAACAGCACCCTCACACCCATGTTCCCCAGCCATTGGTACAGAGAGACACCCTGCCTCATTTAAATATAGCCAACACTACCCTTCTCCAGGCACTGGTCCTCTGGTGGCCAACTCTTGGTTCCCCAGTTCAGCTCTGCACTGTGTGAAGTCCCTCTGTGGATCCGTCCTGAATGTCCCACCCATTGGCTACATGGGCTGACCCCACAGGGTGCTTAGGGCTGTACGGGAGGGAGAGAAAAGTCCCTCTGTCCACCTTCTCCACATCACGCATAGTTCTGTACGCTTCTGCTCTGTTCGACTGCCCCTTTTCTAAATGAAACCATCTGACACTGCAGTGCTTCCTGTGGGGAGTTGCGGCAGCCCTGGGGTCATTTTGGTTGCCCTTCTCTGCCTTTTCTCCAGTACTACAATGTCCCTTTTTAGGAACTGCAAGCAGATCTGCACTCACAGATTTGCATTTGTTTGCCATGCAAATACTACTGCTAAGCATTTTTTTTTAATCCCTAAGTGAGAGCATACAGAAGAGCAGAGTGGGAAGGGGCCATGAAGGCCATCCAGTCCAACCTCCTGCTGCTGCAGGACACCAAGTTACACCATCCCACACAGAGGGCTGCCCAGTTTATTTTTGAATGTCTCTAGTGTGGGAGAGCCCCCCACCTCTGCAGGCAGCTGGTTCCACTGTCGTATTGCTCTGACTGCAGGGAAGCTTTTCCTGATATCTTGCCTGAACCTGGGTTGTCACAACTTGAGTTGATTATTCCATATCCTGCACTCTGGTATGAGCGAGGAGAGACCTTGACCTTCCTCTTTGTGGCAGCCTTTGAGGTCCTTATGGAGGGATATCTTGTCCCCCTCAGTCTTCTCAAGGCTGAGCATGCCCATTTCTGTCTCTCCTCCTAGGGCACCGTTTCCAAACCCTGGACCGTTTTTGTTGCCCTCCTCTGGAATTCTTTCTAGTTTTTCAGCATCTTTCCTAGATCTTGGTGCCCAGAATTGCACACAGCATTCCAGGTGAGGTCCGACTAGTGAGGAGCGAGGGGAACTACTCCTTCCCGTGATTTGGAAGGCACACTTCTGCCAGCGCATCCCAGAACAGCCTTCGCCCGTTGGGCGGCTGCATCGCACGAACTTCCGCCTGCCGCGGGCTTCGCCATGGCGACGGGCACGCAGCCGCCGGGCGACCGGGAGGGGCGCGCCCCGTCCAGAGCCCTTCGCCCGGAGCACGCGCCCTGCCCCGCTCCTCCGCATCGAGCGCTGGCGCGCTCGGTGAGGGACTGCAAGCCGGGGTGCCGGGAAGGCGCCCCGCGGGGAGCACGAACTACAGCTCCCACAGTTCGTCGCGAAGGGCGCGCGGCCGTTAGCGGGCGCGCGCAACCGCCGGCGCGATGAACCAGGCGCAGAGCCTGCTGCTCGACGGCCTCACCAAGACGCGGCACGTGGCCAACGCGGCGCTCGTCAGGGCGGCGGACGCCTCGGTGCTGGCCTCCACGCCCGGCTTCCCCGTGCAGAGCCTGGCGCCGCAGCTGGTGAGGGCCTTCTACAAGGACCTGCTGCAGGTGCGCCGCGAGGGCATGTACTTCAAGGAGCGGCACTACGCGTGCGTGCGCGCCGACGAGCACGCCATCTACCTGAAGGGCGAGGACAGCGGCGTGGTGCTGGCCAAGACGAAGGCCTTCGTGCTGGTGGGCACCTACGCGCAAGGCATGCACCCCAGCGTGTGCGTGGAGGCGGTGGAGAAGCTGGCCGAGTACCTCCGCAAGAAGGGCAACTGACGGCGCCGGGCGGCCCCGTGCCCCGGGACGCGACGCGACGCGACGGGCTGCCGCGCGGGGCCCGGCGGCCTCCCTGGCTCGCCGGTGCTTGTAAGCATTAAACGCGCCGGCCCGCAAAAGGTGCGGTATCCGCGTGGTGTGTGGCGTGGAAGCGACCCCACGGGGAACAGGCCCGTGTCCTGCCGTGAACCCCGAATGCAGGGGCAGCTGCCGCCAGGACCCGTGCCAAGGGTCAGCCTGGAGTTCAGAGCCCAGCGGGGCCCGCCTGAGGAAAGCCCCCTAAAGATCTCCCCCGTGGCAGTGCCATGGCAGTGGGGCAGGTGGGGGTGGAGCTTGGGGTTCAGTGCCCACGACCTCCCGGGGTCCCCTGAATGGCCGGCCAAAACAGGAAGGTGAGGAGGGTGCTGGAATGCAACCCTATGATTTCCCATGTTGCGGCAGTGCTGCTATTTATTAGATTTATGTCCTGCCTTGTTTCTTACAAAGAATTCAAGGCGGCTTCCACCATTCGCCTCCTCCTGCTCTCAGTCTGATTCCCACAACAACCACCCTGTGAGGTAGGTCAGGCTAAGAGTCTGGGGCTGGCCCAGAGTCACTCAGTGGGCTCCATGATCAACCAGGGACTTGACCCCAGATCATATGCACCCCCGTCCTGTGCTCTTCACCCCACTGGATCAGTGCAGCTCGAGTGCACAATCGCACATGCGCAGGGAAAGTGTGCAGAGCATGAAAAGGCTGTTGTGCAGCGGAGGGCAGAGGAAGGGAGCAGCTGTCGAAAGGGGGGGGCACCTGTCCATGAACACCAGGCTCTGCCACTTTTGGCTGCAAGGAAGCTGAGCCCCAAGAAAAAGCCTTCCAGTGGCCCCTCGATGCCCCCCAAAATGCACCGGGGCCAGAGCTTCAGAGAATAGGGCAGCAGAGGAAGTGGGCCTGCTGGAACAGCAGCAAGAATTCTTGTTTGTTAATTTGCAACCATGGTTGCAAATCTGTACCTCCAGAGGTGCTTACGCATTCCGCTCCTTCAATTCTGGGCATGCGTTTTCAAAGGTTAGAACACATAAACAGGGTCATGAGATCCAGTCCTTGACTGGAACGAGCTGCAGATCAGCTGCAAAGAGTTCCGTGATGTCGAGTCATTTTATTTGGGCCACTTTTACCCTGCCCGTCCTCCAAGGACCTCTGGGCAGTGTATGTGGTTCTACCAACTACACCTCCAATTTATGCTCACAATTTTGGCACGTAGGTAAGGGTGAGAAGGGGAGAGGGTGGGACAGACAGACCCTGACTTCCAGCCAGCCAGCCGAATCCTTTTCTAAGAGTCCCAACTCCATTTTTCCCTGCTTTTCTGTCATTTCACCCCAACAGCATTTGGTATTCCACACGCACCAAGTATGTTCATTTCCCATCGGTCTGCCTTTGGTGTATTTTGTCTCCGAAACATTTTTTGTGCTTCTGAAAACTCTGGGGTCCACCAAGTCTTCTGCACCACACTTAAAGCACTGTGTTTGCATTAATGTATACAATGCCGCTTGTCTGGGCCTGCCCTGCTAGATTAGGGTGGGAGGTGGGGATCATACAGCCCTTCCGTGGAACCCACCAGGAGTGGCACCGTACCCCCAACTGCTGAATTTGCTGCCACCAACTACTTTTGCAAGCAGTAGGAGCAAAAGTCGCAAGGATGGAGCCGCAAAAGAGGGCAGGCCGCTTCCAGGAGTGTGATTCTGCTTGGAAACAGGCTCCTTGCAGGTGTAATGATTTCCCTGCAAAACTGCAGGCACAGCACCAGCAACAGAGGGACACAACGAAGCTCCCAGATCGTTTTTTACCTTTCTTGTAGGAGCATGATGGGCTTTGTAGTCCTCCATGCATGCTGAAACAGTTGGCGTTCCAAAGGGAGGGAAACTGTGCCTTGGATCCAAAACCGCTTGGAAGCTCCGCTTTCCAAGTTGGTGGAAGAATAAGGGAGTATCCTAATCAGATTTCTGTCCGATAAGAAAGCTGTGTTGCACTGGGAATATTTAGTAGGCAAGGAATTAAAAACATAGTCAATTCTTGATTAAAATAGGGAAATGGGCAGAAATCCATCCAAAAAGATTCCAAAATAAATAATGTGAGGAATTGTTTGGTTATTTTTTTCCCAGGGCAGTGAAGGAAATGTGCAAATCAGCAGACAGCTGTCAGGGTGCTTGTTGCATAAGGGTTGAGCTGGGGGGAAAGGCGGCCCACTCGGATGACGACCGCTCCTTAGCAAGCCTGGCCTGTGGGCACTGGACAATTGCAGCTGCCTTGTTGGATGCGACACAGTGGGCACCTCCAGGGTGGGCGGCACAGAGACTTTCAGCCACACGCGGCCCCCGCTTGCCTCCGGGGGGACCACCGGCTCCCCTCCACACTGCCGCAGCCATACAACCGGGATGGCGCAAAGACACAAATGAGGCGACCTCTTGTGTGGCAAAGCACCAATTTCTTTGGCTAGCAGTGCCCCAGAAAATTCCACAGGGAGCCAGAAGCATGAATGAAAACCAAAGGGGTGGGGGGCACTAATGCCCCCCTATTCCCACCCCGGCACTGCCTGTTGCAGTTCAGAGGAGGGGAGTCCGGTGGCATAATTCTTCCATAATTAACATGGAGATGTGGCTGGTAGGATTCAAAGGGGAGGCAAGGAGCACCTCCCTTGGGGGGAAATGCAGGGAAATCCCAGGAACTTCCACTGATTTTCTGTTCAAAGGGGAGGTGGGCTGCTAGGAGAGCATTATTCTGTTAACTTACATCCCATTTGGTCCCAGTGATTGGGATTCAATCCATTAAAATCCATGCAATTAAAACATTTTTAAATATTCAAAAGTTAAGCATAAATGTTAACTTTGAGCCACTACCTGGATTGAAAAAAACTTTAAACAGTAAAACCTACCCAGGGAAGACACACAAGGCAGTTCCCAAATGCCCACTGGAAAAAAAGGGTTCTCACCTCTTACCAAAACCTAGCAGGTTTTCCCACCCATGCAAGCCGAATATTTGCCTATTGGAGCTGTGGTATAAAACATCTGCGACCCTTCCGAAGTACAAGAAGAAAGTTCTCTCCTGTTTTCATCTTGGGCTATTTCTTTGCCACTTGCAAGAAAACTCTGAGGAACTCTGGCTCCATGGCAGCCGTGATATTTGAAAGGCCGACTTCTCCCGTAACAAACCTCTTGCATGTATCAAGAGGTTAAAGTGGTGGAAATATGGAAAAGGGAAAGGAAGTAAGCTATGGAAGGAAAAGGAAGTTAGCCAGTCCCCCACTAGGTTCAGGTTTAGGTGGGCTGTTCAAACTTTTTGGTTTCCTCTGAAGTTCTGCTAGGACCATTTTGAAGCTTTACATTCTTTTTGAAGTTTGCTTCTTTCTTTTCATTTAAAACTTTTCCGTCGTTGCAGGTTTTAACAGTAAGAGTCCTTGGGGGCTGGATCTGGGCAAAAAAGGCAGCTCATGAATTTGCAGATTAATAAAAATAAAAAGATTGCAGGGCTTTGGCAAAACAATGGGTTTTACCTACCACTTCCCATTAAGCACATTCTGAAATGGGGCAAGCTACCATTGATGCACTCAGTTACCAGGTAACTTCATTTGCGCAACAAAAACCGAATTCTGAACCCCCATGATTTGTGTAACTTGTGCACAGTTACAAAATTTGACACAGCTTTGGCAAAATGTGGCACTCTCCAGCCACACATTTTGTTTGAGTGCTCTTTTAATGTGTTTTTAATTCCATGCTCTTGCTTGTGCTCTCTTTGCTGCATAGTTTCTGCTTTTTAAATGGTCACTGTCCAGAGAATGTATGGTTAGTTAGACGATGGTATATAAATGCAACTAATGGAATAAAATGAGCCTGGGCAAAGGGCGGGGAAGCTACATGGACCACAGAAACTCCACCCCAGACTACTGAATATTCAGCCAAACAACCAGTTTCTACAGTTCTTAGAAGGGATTTTGCCAGATTCACAGAGAATTGACCTATCACTGGTTTTCTACCATTACATCCAGATGGAACCACTCTGACCAGGAGCAGTCTACCTCTAGACACCTATTGTTGGAGGACAGCCAATCAGCAAGCACTATTTTACTCAAACCCTGCTGGAAGTCACTGGCCAGCCACCCTTTTGTTCTTATGCCCCTGGGAAATCAGCACTCATGCTCAAGTATATTGCTAAAATCATAAGGGTTAGAAACTTCCTGTTGAAAGAAAGATTAAATTCTCTAGGAAGGCAGAATCTGCATCAGATTTTGAACTGCCAGGGAACCGCAACTATCTATTATTGCTATTACTATTAATACTATACCTTTCCTGTTTTATCTTGCAAGGAATCCAGCATGGCTTACAAAGTTTTCCTCTCCATTTTAATCTCACAGCAACAACAGCCCTATGAGGTAGGTTAGGCTGAGTCTGTGACTGGCCTGAAGTCACCCAGTGTGTTTTATGACTAAGTGGGAACTAGAACCTGGACCTCCCAAGTCCCAGTGTAGCACTCTTACTAGTACACCACACTGCCTTTCCAGGTCTAGGCTAGTAATGTTGAAGGGCAGACACTAGTTACCCCGGAGGTAGCTACACATGGATTGGAGAACAAGGCAGTTCTGTGACCATGAAAGACACGACGGTGCCTGTTCATTTTCCTGTTAAATGTGACAAAAAGGCTGGCTTACATAATCCTCTTCCTCCGTATTTTATCCTTGCAACAACAAACTTGCAATGTAGGCTAGGCAGAGAGTCTGACTGGCCCGAAGTCACCCAGGGAGCTTCACTGCTAAAGGAGGGCGAGAGCCTGGGCAGACCGAATTTCTCTCTTTCTCCCTGGTTGCATTTGCGCTGTGAGCTTACAGAAAAAAGAACGCCTCCCTCTGAGACGGGCAAGAAGCAAGAGCTGAAAGTAAAGCGAGGTCGCCATTCGCTGGCCAGCCTCAAATTGGTGCCAAGAGAGCGAGTTGGTGGGGGGACATTTTTCCTTTGCAGGAGACCATCGCGGGGGGGGGGGGGGCGGGAGCAGGCGCCTCGGATCCAAATCAATCACGTTGATGCTAATAACAAGCCCCCTTCACCCCTGCGCTGCCCTCCTCCATGTGGCCTTTAGATCGAAAGGCAGCTGGCTGGGTGGCTCGGAGGCCTCATTTCCTGCTGCGGCTAAAATCCCCTTTGCTGCAAAAAGAGAAAGAGCGGGAGAGAGAAGCCCGGCCTGCGGGGGGGGGGGGGGATGGTTTGAGGAAAAGCCCTTCGAAGCTGCAGCAACATGTCCTGTCACATCCGTCTTATCAACCAGCTACCAAGATCAGCCCCAATGGTCCAGGAATCGGTGGGGACCCTCCCCCAAATGGGGGCAGCTTGCAAGCTTCATCACCTGGGTTTGCCTGCAGCTTCCCTGGGCTGGGGATGGACGGGGTAGGGAAGAGAGTGCAGGATGCCGGCGGCCTCAGGCCAAAGAGCGAGGTGGCCTGGCCCCAGATAGTCCCAGTACTTTGCCCTCTGTGCTGGCCCCCAAGGCATTTTCCTGCCAGAGGAAAATGGCAACTTTCATTTGCAGAGAAAATGTTCTAAGAGCATTAGGAGGCCGTGTGCTGCCAAATTTGAGCAGCAGTTTTTGAAAAGCACGCGTGGGGCACCCTGTGGACTGCAGCCTACAGAAGGGGGCCCCCCAGACTCCACAGATGCCCCCCCCCAGTTTAAATAATAGAAACAGAGTGAGTCAGAAGGGGTCTCCCGGGCCATCTAGTCTGACCCCCGGCTCTACTCACAACTTGCCTGCCATGTGCAAGCATCTGCTTTGGTGCATACAAGAAGAGAGGTCACCTTCAAGCTTCTCAGCAGTGTGATGAATACAGAGCAGAGGGCAAAACTGAGCATGAAACCAACATGAGCTAGGATAATCTGGAATAATTTTAGGGGAAAGGATGACTCTCCAAATATGTCCAGATACCAGGAACTGAGCATTGCAGAATCCGTGACTCATATCCCTCTGGTCCCCCATCCCAGACCCATTTGTGGGGTGAGCCCTGATAAGTCTGAGCCCAGCTAGCTTTCCTGTCCCGTTTTCTGCATTCACTGCTATGCAACGTCGCACATCTGCGTGCAGCGATTGATTGATTGAACGTTTTTCTAACCCGTCCACTACAAACGTCTCAGGATGACTTACAAAAAACGAGTAGAATAAAACAAACCCCACAACTGAAATACTAAAACCCCAGTTAAAATCAATTAAATGTTAAAATAGCAGGAAAATAAAAAGGGGGTTTCCTGATGCTGAAAAGAATATAATGTCGGCGCCAGGCAAACCTCTCTGAGAAGCATATTCCACAGTCGGGGTGCCACCACAGAGAAGGCCCTCCTCCGGGTAGTCACCCTCCTAATCTTCAAGGTGGGCTCCCAGAGCAGGGCCCAGGCAAGGCCCAGGAAGGACCCAACACTTCGGATGCGAGAAACCCTACGGTGTCATTCAGTGTGAGAACACGGAGCCCAAACCCCCCCCCCCCCGCCGAGAATTTCCTGTGTCAACACAGCCATGGCATGTACTGTGGGAATGAGGGCATCCCATAAAGTGGGCAGGCCGTTCCCTTTAAAAGAGGCAACAAACAACAAAGATGTAAAGGCCCCAGACAGCACAGCTGAGTTTAGCAAACTGCCAGCAAAACTTCCTGGCAGGCTGGAATTCTTCTTTGTCAATTGCTTGGGGTAAGAGTTAAAATTCCTGAGATAATTTTAATCTAAACAGTCTGTAGCCATCAGCATTATGGAGGTGCCCACCAGATGGGGATGGTTAAGTGGTTACTTTTCTCAAAAACCTGAACCTACTAGCAAAGGGTCAAGATATTTTGTTATACTTCATAGTGAGTTTCAACAATGGTTCAGCTCTATCAGAATGCAAGAGGTTGCCAGGCACGGGGAGAGAAAAGTTTCCTCCAAGCAGAACAGTGAAAAAGGAAGTGCGAGAGAAGCCAGAACCAGACCCAAGCAGCCTCAACTTCTGCAAAGAAAATCCTATGCAAAGATATAAATAACCACATTCAGGCAACTGTAACCAGATCCTATTTTCTGGATTAAAAAATCAGTGCGGAATCACTTTGCCCGTGTTAAGGATGCTAGGAATATCCCATGTTTTTCTCTCCTCATTCACCGCATTTGCCACTTGGCCAGCCATTCTCACATCCTCACGGCTGCCTTTCCATCTCTCTTTCACTGCCCCTTTTCCCTGCATCCTTCCTCCTCCTCTTTTCTCGGGCTTTGAGATTCTCCTGTGCGCACACAGAGCTGCAGCCTCGCACAACGGCTTCCGAAAGGCTGTAGGACAAGCTTTGACAGCTTGGGAGAACATGGAACCTGTGCAGGGTGGCTTGTCCAAACACTGCGCACACGTTGGAGGGGCCGAAATGCTCCTTTCTGGGGGAGGTCTGAATTTTTTGTTTTCATTCCACTGCATATCCCAGTGTTCTCCAAACTGTCATGGCAGAATTGTGGTTTTATGGGGGTGGTCCCATTTTGGCCACCATACCACACATTAGTCGGAGAGGATTCCATCACATGAGGCCTAATCCATGCAGCCTAGCTCAATTGTGCAACATGGAGGGTGTACCTGGCGGTTCCACACAGGCCCATGGCCCGACCGGAGTCCGCCAGGAGAAGAGCCTTCGCGGTGGTGGCCCCATGAGGCTCAGGAGCTCAGCCTTGCATCAACCCAATCTTGTTTTCAGTGCCTGCTAAAGACACCCTTCCACGGGGAAGCCTTTCTCGCTGATCAGTTGCCGTCTGGATGTTACCTTGGAATTGATGCATTATTTTTGGTCCTTTTTTCTTTTCTTTTCACCTTTCCCCTGCTCACTGCTCTGGAATGTGCTTGAGTGGGGAGTACTATATAAACACTGCAAGTAAGAAAAATGAAAAAAAAAATGGGAAGAAAGCCGCAGTGGCAGAGGAAGCCTGAAGAGAAGCAAAGGAAGGGCAAAGGGGGGCGGAGAAGCGTTGCTGCAGGTGGCACAAGGACCATCTGCAGGCAAGTATAATACGGAGTTTTTCCCCTGCATATTATAAAAAAAAAATTCAGGGAAGCGTTATTGAAATAAATGAAGCGGTGGGGGTAGGAATAGATGCTGTCAGCTACTTAGAGGACAGAAACACAAACTTAAGAGGGTTTGAGCTAGCAGTTTTGAATATGTCCTCGAATAATCACTTAATAAGAGAGTGTGGTTGCACAAGCGGCATCCATCGAAGCAAACGTCGATCAGTTGGGGCAGGCCTGCCAAAAGGCCAATGCAGGAGGAGGCGATGTGCTGGAAACGAAATGCCCAAGCTCTCGTCCCCCCAGTCCCACGGGGACGGCGACGCAATCATCACCCCGTGATGCGTTCGGCTTTGCACACCGTGCTGGACTCTGCCACATCCTCCTGCAGACCAAAGACCTGAGCGGCGCGCTCACACACACAGGGAAGGACTCCTCCCCCACAGCCAAGCAGCACATAGCAATACGTGGTAGAAAGTCAGTCTTGCAAGCCACGAGCATTGGAATGGCTGTCCGTGTAAGCACTAAAGAGGAGCATACATCGCACCCGTGAAAAAGTGTAAGGGAGGCGAATGCTTTGGCACGGCAACATGGCCGTTTCTTTCTGCTTGGATCACTGCGGCTGGAACGCAAACGCTTGCGCCCTCCTGCACGCTCATGCTCCTTTGCACACGCCTGTGCCCAGGCAGAGAAGAGCCCTCGTGGTCTTACCTTCCTCGCAGTTGCTTCCTGCAAAGCCAGGGCAGCATCGCCATTCCAGGGCTGTTACTGTTCGGTAAGAGATCTTGTACGTGGGTCTGATGAGAGTCCTGTAACTAACACAAGCAAGATGTCACACAAAACAGTTCCACCCCGGCTTGTATTTGGAGAGGCAATGTGGGTCAATGGTTAGAACACTGGGCGGGGGTGCTGGTGATTCGGATTCTAGTCCCCACTTAGCCATGAAACCGACAGGGCAGCTCTGGGGTGGTCACAGACTGTCAACCTGACCTACTGCACAGGACCCTTGTTGTGAGGATAAAAATGGGGAAAATATTCACCTAACGTAAATAAGTGACAAAAAGGGATAAGGAATCTACAAACCTGCTCCTTCAAGAAGCGCGCGACCTGACCTAAAACAGGTTATTTCCCTCCACCTGGTCCGACCAAACCCCACCAACAGGATCTCAGCCTTGCCTGGACTGAGCTCCAGTGTGTTAGCCCTCATCCAGTCCATTGCCATGGCCGGGCACAGATCCAGCCCATCCACAGCCTACCGTGAAGAAGATGCAAAGGTTAAAAAGAGCTGTGTGTCATCAGCGCACCAGTGACAACGACCTGCAAAACTGAATGGGGATGCTGGGCATTTTGGTCCAAAGATAGGTGGTGGTGTGTTCCTTTCTCTGTCCAGAAAAGCCTGGAAAGTGGTCTGTTCTGTGGAATAAAGAAAGACTGAGAAAACAGAGAGCAGGCGTACAATCTGTTGTCAACAGTTCGAAATAGCAGGGCGTACGAAATGGCTGGGTGAGACTCAGCGGTGTTCATGTGCTTCCATTTACAAGCACATACATGGCAGAGAAAATGGCCCCAGTTCCCATAAAGAGTTGCCTTTTCCCAATTGTGGGTCCTCAAGTGTACTACAGCACCCATCATCTCCAGCCAGCATGGCCCAGGGTCAAGGGGATGGGAGCTGTAATCCAAACTTGGTGAAATAAAATCGGGCAAAATAAAAGGGAACCGGAGCTGTGAAGGAAGATTATAAGATACAGTGACCTCCCCCACTTCGATAAGGGATTCGGCAAAGGCTAAAATGGGGATTGTGATTTTTCAGGAAATGGGGTCTGCTCGCATCAAATCTTTGCAATTGGGTTTTTTTTTTTTAGTTCAGTGTTGTTCCAAAGGGTTTTTTGATGCAGAAGAGTAACAGATTCCAGATTTTGCACTGAAGGGCCTTCTTCAAGAAGCCAGTAAGCTTGGAAGCAGACCAGGGAAATGGTCATGGAGCATGGTTTGGATCAGGCCAAGGAAAAGTAGCCTCGCAGGGCAGGTACAGACCACACAGGAACGGTCTCTTTCCTGTGTGTATAAAACATTTGCCCTGCGATGTTTAGAATTTTGGCAAAGGAGGTGAATGCAGACAACTGTCCGAGCAATTCAGCTCCAGCTTGTCTCTATGCTGCAAGATAAGACATGGGTGTTTAATGTCCTTTTTCCGCTGGATTCTGCCAAAAGAAAGCACAGTAAGAAGTGAGGCTTCGAAGGAGCTGCTCAGACAGCCACCAGATTCAGAGAAGTGGCATCTCCTTTCTGGTCCATGATAAATCACTAGTCCTGTTTTGCTCCTCTCTGGGTTGTTTTTGTTGGTTGCTTAGTTGGTGTTGAAGGGGAATGCCTTGTTAAAATTCAGCAAGTTGCTAGCGCTGCTATTCGCGGAGCGGCAGCTTACCCATTGCCAAAAGAAGGAAATGTATGGGCCAAGTGTGGTTTGCGGCTGAACCCCAGGTTGTTGATACAATGTAGGTGATCGTGCGGACTGGGCCACCTAAGGTTGACACAACATGGTGAACAACACACAGTCCATGACCCAGCAACAAGCCCAAGCCATGGCTCAGAGAGCAACAGGCCACGGCTTGTTAGCACAGCTGAGCTCAGACATGGCAATTTGCACTTGATCTGTTCTCAGTCCCAAAGTGTGATTTTTCTTGTGGTCTGAATCCGAGAAGGAGAAGAGAAAAGGGAGAGAAGGCAGAGAAAGGGGAGAGGGAATGAAAGGGAATGACAGCTAGCAGTTGAGTGGGTGGGTCATTGTTGGCTTTAGCCCCACCTATTTTTGGCTTCAGCCCTGCCCACCCTGGTCCCTAAAAAATGTGCCCGCCCCCCCGGCAAGAAAAATGGTTTCTGCACTTTTGGTTTCAGCTTGCAAACCAGGTTTGAGCTTACCATAATTTTGCTATTTATGTTCTGTCTTTTTACCCCAGATGTAAGGAGTTTTTAAGCCTCATTCAAATGATTAACTGAGACACATTTAAAAGCTGGGTGAAATTTAAGTGTACATTGCAAACTTTTCCCCTCTCTCTCTTTATTGGAATGTATTGGAATTGTTTTTAAATAGGGCTTCTGTGTTCTGTTTGCAGAGAGCCACGTAATCAGAAGAGACTTGACCCCCCTCTGAATATTTGGAATCGTGAAAATGTTATATATTGGCATTTTTATTTCATGTTATTTTTGCCTAATACTGCCAAAGAAGACAGGGATCCAAATGGGTCTGGAGTGCTTCCAGTTGCAAGCCTGTGCATGCTTACATGTAAGTCATGGAAACTTACTTCTGAGTAAACATGCCTAGGAATGGGCTGTTACTCCTTCAAAGCTGCACTGACAAGTATCACTACCAACTTCTCATTTAACTTCAGTGACCTTGTGATGTTTCCAGATGCAAAATCAACATGGACTGAATTCAGAAGGTCCCAAGGCCGGAAAATCTTGCTTCCTTGCATCCTATCAAAGGATTTTTCATAGAAGATGCAACAGCCAGATTCACACCATCAGAGAAGGAAATGCGACTGTGGCAGCTTCTCTTCCCGGCTCACGTGTGCCTGTTGCGTGCTGCCACACTTCCATGATTATTTGTGGCACACTCATGATCGGAGACGTCACGAGTCTGTTTGTTTTTACTGCACCAGTCCAATGTAGCTACTCCATGAATAATGAAATGAAAGGTTATGTCACATACATTGGAGCCAGATAGTCACATAGCTACCTTACCATGCCAACCTTCTTTTTAACAGCTGTTTTGCTACACCCGTATGTGGGTGTGTGTTCATTTTATATATCATTTATTCATTTCATTGGATGTTGTTGTATTATGATTGTTGTAAAGGGCGACATATAAATGTTTTAAATAAAATGAAATATTTATATACTGCCCTATGGCTTACATCAGGGGTCCTCAAACTTTTTTAACAGGGGGCCAGTTGACAGTTGCCGGCAATGGGCGCGGGCTGGGGCAGGGGAGCGCACGCACGGTGAAGCGCCGGCTTGCTCGCAAGGAGATTGTTTTCTCCGAGCGAGTCCAAAACGATCTCCAAACCCCAGCTGAATTTTATAAATCTTTTGAGGGAGTTTTTGCTACACTTCTTAAAGATACATGTAATGAAGCATTGTTAAATGCTAAAATACCAGCTACCTGGACAGAGGCAAATATTACACTAATACCAAAAGAAGATACGGACTTAACACAGATTCAAAACTACAGACCTATATCATTACTAAATGTGGACTATAAAATTTTTGCCTCTATATTGGCAGAAAGGTTGAAGAAGTTTTTAATAGATTTTATTCATCCAGATCAAAACGGTTTCTTGCTTAAAAGACAAATGAAGAATAATCTGAGAACTATCTTGGATATCCTAGAATACTATGAGATACACACAGAAAAACCAATGGCTTTACTGTTTTTGGACGCCCAGAAAGCCTTTGATAATGTTAATTGGCAATTCATGAAACAACAGATGGTTCAAATGGAGTTTGGTGGAAAATTTATGAATGCGATATCAAGTATCTATCAAAGACAATTGGCCAGGATTTTAATTAATGGAGAACTTACAAGGGCTATAGAGATACAAAAGGGTACAAGGCAGGGATGCCCGTTGTCACCCCTGTTGTTTATTCTGACTTTAGAGGTGTTGAATAGAAATGGCAGGGATGACAAGGACATTAAAGGTACTAGAATTAGGGATGAAAGTTATAAATTGCAAGCATTCGCAGATGATTTGGTTTTCATAACAGAAGAACCCTTTGTAACAATGCCTAAACTTTTACAACAGATTGAAGAATATGGTGAGGTTACGGGGATGAAAATAAATAAAGAAAAAACAAAACTCTTAGTTAAAAACCTTACGCAAGATCAGAAAAAGAAACTCCAGGAACAAGTAGACTTGCAAATTGTTAAAAAGGTTAAATACTTGGGAATCTATCTTACAGCTAAATGTACCACTTTGAAAGAAGATAATTACGATAAATTATTGAAGGATATTAAAGGTGATCTGGAAAAATGGGCCAATTTACAATTGTCTTTGATGGGAAGCACAGCACTTGTTCAAATGAATATACTGCCAAAACTTTCGGTTTTGTTCCAAATGATTCCCGTAAAAATTGATAAAAAATTCTTTGATTTAAGCTCTCAAATTTTGAGATTTATTTGGAGAAAAAAGAAACCAAGGATTAAATTAAAAATGCTTCAGGAAACCAAAAAGAACGGGGGTTTTGGTCTTCCTGATTGGATATTGTACTATCAAGCGTCTATTTTAACTTGGCTAAAAGAATGGATAACCTTGCGAAACAAGAGCATTTTGTATCTTGAGGGTCATGATTTGCAAATGGGTTGGCAGGCTTATATGTGGTACGAGAAGGTTAGGTCTCATGGGACTTTTTTAAGTCACTTTATTAGAAGATCATTAATGTCAGTGTGAGAAAAGTTAAAGTCAAAATTGTATAATAAGCTATCAAGATGGCTTTCACCTATGGAAGCTTTTGTGTATCCAAACGTATTGAACTTTGAAGGGATCATAAGATATGACGATATTTTGGATAAGGATGGAGGCCTGAAACTAGATCAAGAAATACAAGAACAGGGACTTAATGTCTCTTGGTGGTATAAGGTGCAGATGCAATTAAGATATGCTAAAGATTGTAAAATATGGGGGTTTTATAAAGATTTAACAGTGTTTGATCAAGTGATGCTAAAAACAGATGAAAAAATGATTAAAAGAGTATATGATTTCTTACTTGACAGGAAAATGGAAGGGGAACAGGTTAAGGAAACTATGATAACATGGGCACAAAATTTTGGATATAATATTGAATTAGAAAAGTGGCAAAAGCTATGGGAGAGAAGTATTAAGGTAACATTAGCAACTTTGTATAAAGAAAATTTATATAAAATATTCTATAGATGGTATTTGTTGCCAAGTCGATTAGCTAAGATGTTTCCAAATATTGGAAATGTAAACATAAAGTGGGTACTTTTTACCATATGTGGTGGACCTGTGAAAATGCGAAAAAGTATTGGATTAAAATACATAAATAGCTTGAGGAAATGCTACAAAATCCCTTAGCTTTTAAACCTGAAATTTTCTTGTTAGGCATCATACCGGAAGATATTAGCAAACAAGAAATGTATTTGATGTTACATCTAATCACAGCAGCGAGGATTGCGCTTGCTCAATACTGGAAGAGTGAGGAATTACCCACCGATGAACTGATTTTAAAAAAGATTCTGGACTGTGCAGAAATGGACAGATTGACTCTATAACTGAAGGAGAAAGAAGATACTGACTTCTATCAAACTTTTTTATGATCGGCTGGAAAAATGGGACTTGGCTTAGATTTAAAGATGTTTTTAAATTTTTATAAATCGATTTGAATATGACTATAGAATGTTAAAGATATGTAGTAGGGGGCTGACCCAGTACGTCCGATGTATTTGATGACTGATGTTTTTAGTTTCAGTTTAAAATCTTGATAAAGTCTTTATAAAAAAAACAAAACAATCTCCAAACGAGCAGGCCCCGGCCTCGGTGCATGCACGCGGCAAGTCCAAAACCTCTATGGTGGGCTGGACAAATGGGCATGGTGGGCTGGATCCGGCCCGCGGGCTGTAGTTTGAGAACCCATGGCTTACATAGTCCGCTGACATTTTTACCCTCACAACAACCCTGTGAGGGAGGTTAAGCTGAGAGTCCAGGACTGGCCCAAAGTCACCCAGGAAGCCTCTCAGCCAACTGGGGACTAGAACCCGGGTCTACCCAATCCCACTTCAACAGACACACTGGTTCCTATTAACCGTCAGCTGGGGATAATGGAGGAAGGGGTCCCCTTAATGCGGGGGGAGGGAAGTACAGACCAAGGGGGCAAATCCAGCTTCGCTGGGGTCCCAACCAGCCCCGCAGGTTTTCCCAGATGCCCTTCCCTGGCCCCGGCCTTTCACCCAACCATCAGTCCTTGGTGCTCTCTCGGCTTGGGTGCCGTTTCTTCTCCATTCTCAGCGGCTGAGCTGCTTTTCAAAGGCTGAGGCACAGACAGGAAAAGCTTGAAGTGCAAATAGCCTTCATAGCCCTCCTGAGGCCACACCTGTTTATTCAGGCTTTACTTTACAGTCTTTGAAACATTCTAATATATTTATTATTGTTTTTACATTGGTTTCAAGAGATAATTGATTTTTTTTAGGTAAAGCACTTAGCGTCCTGATGCTATCAGGCAGTATATAAGCAGTTTGAATAAATAAAAGCAGATAAATAAACTTGGACCCATTCAAGCCAAGTTCTCCAAGGTGGCTGTTACCTCACTAAGTTGGCACATGGTCCCGGCCACCGGCAGCTTTGATAAACCCTTTGGATCACCGTCTCCGAGCCGTTCTGCACCTGGCAGGAAACTGTCCGGGTGACCATGTAGTGACACCAGTGCCTGTGGAGAGAAACCCAAGATAAACACAGGACCTTGCTAATCCAGAAGACGGTTCACGGAAACCACATATGAAAAGCACACACCACTGCAAATCTTATTAAGAAAAGGCATTTTAAAAGACTGGACGTGTTTGGTCTAGCCCTTTGTTGCCTGTCAAATGCCATATTCCTTCCCACACACCCTTCCCACACACCCACACACGTATTTTGGCCTTCATTCTTTGCCTCTTGTTCTTCCTTGGTAAGGAAACTTTTTAGCAGCTAATATTGGACTAATGTCATTTTCTTTGTCTTTAAAAGGGCGATTTAGGACTCTCTATTTCAGCTTGCCAATAAGAAAGCTTACAAACAAGTGCTGGGATTCCATTCTGCCACGGCCCCTCTTCATCCCATGTGTGGGACACAATTCATTAGCTCCTGCGGTTTTTAATCAAACCCTAATTTGCACTTACATCTCAGCCAGCCCACTATGGTTTGCACAATCCCAGCAAAGCAGGTCGGCAACCACGGTTTCCATCCGCTTTTGCATACACGATTGGGAGGAACAGCTCAAAGCATGTATCGTTTTTGTGTTCGCTTTTTTTGCTTGTTTGAACAAACTGACAAACCATGGCTTGATCAAAGCAGGAAGGAAATAACTGCATCACACACAGAAGATGTGATGCATTGCACAAACAAATGTTTTAAATAAATAGATAACCATGGCAACCGTGGTCTCTAGCACCTACTCAGTCCTAAGGGCTGAAATGATCCAGTGGTCAACCCACCACTGGATCATAAATAAAATTTTTAAAAAACTGTGCAGATTTGCATATGTACGCCCGAGGAAAAAGGCAAGGTTGTTGTCGTCATCATCCATGACTATTGATCATTCTGTTTGGGGATGATGGGGCCTGGCATCTGGGGTGCCACAGGATACTGTTGTATTTCGAAGGAACCGCTGGGCTGGCCTGGCCTTGGATACTGTTGTAAGTGACCAGAAATACGAAGGACCGGTGTGCGACCCCCTTTCTCATTGCTCAGCTGTTCCCTTGTGCTTATGCTCTGACCAAATCTTTAGCATTCAAGAGAATTTGCATTTGGGCTCCAAATGGAGCAAACTTGCGGTGTTTGAGTTGATCTGTGTTTGCCTAATTCTTTCCTGCGACGCAGGATGGGCTGCAAGTCTGTGACTGGCCCAGAGTCACCCAGGCGGCTTCATGGCTGAGTGGGGATGAGAACCGTGGTATTAAAAAACCATAATGAACAACCCACAGTTCCCAATCCAGGAACAAACAATGGGTCCTCTTCATGGGTTGCTCACTGTTAACAAGCAATGGTTTGTTCAGACAATACAATAACCTGTGCTTCACCAACAATCTGCACACAACCCTTGAATGTCATCTGAACCCAGGCACTGACTGGCAGGAGTGATCCAGGGTTCTTCAGTCCTTCGTGGAGGTGCTGGTACTGAGCCCTGGACCTTTTGCTTGGCAAGCAAGAGTTCTGCCAGGCAGCTGCAGCCCTTCCACCTCTCCTGAGCTTGACGGACCTTCATCCAAGACACTGGGCCATTTTTGATAGCCTTTGGCCCCCCCAGGGGTAAGATAGGACGACCTCCGAGCTCCTTGGGCCAATAACCACCTTTCCTAAAAAGCCCACCATCCTTTTCTTACCATGAAACCCTGAGGAAGGAAGATGAGTAGAAAGTAGATTTAGCAGGATTATACTCAATCAAAGATGTCATACTGGGAGTGGAAACTCCTGCTCTGTTTACACTACCCGGAGCAATTCAAACTTCACATCCCAGGATAAAGGATTTCCAAGCAATAAAATGTGCATTGTAATTAAAGCTCTTCCCGTTCCGTCGGATGCAACCTCTAATCTTTATGGAAGTGGCATGGCTTTGAACGTATGAAGCTGCACTTTGAAGCCCAAGAGGGGAGTTTTTTAACAACACAAGCACACATAAATATCTTTTCAAGTGAACGGTGACATTTGCAAAACAAAACTCACCACACACGAGAAAGTAATGTTCTGCACATTGTATGCTTGTCCGATTTTGGCAGTCATTCCTTAAGGGCATAATTCCATGCATGTTAAGACAGAGAAAAAACTTGGAAGTTGCAAGACTTCTGGGTCCTATTGCCACTTTAGTGGTGAAATTTAGGGCCAGGTCATGCTATATGCTAAAGGGATAAATCACGATGACATCAGAGTGTTGTGAGTGTGTTTGTGTGTGTGCATGCATGCATTTTTTAAAGCCATGTGCACATGTATGCATGCAGTTTTAGAAAAAGAGAGGCATCCTTGCATGAAATATGAATGTGGCAGTTCACATTTCTAGATATAGAAATTTGGAAATTATTTGTCATTTAAACAGAATGACAGTGTCTTGCCCTAGTGAGGACAGCTGTGAACAGGTAACCTGGGCTCTGGTGCTTAGTCTGCTGTCCAGGTACTAAGTATGGATGGAAAACTTCAAGGATCTTGCCTGCTTTTCCCTCTTTATGGTTCCTTAACTTTAAGCCATACTTGAGTAGGATAGCTTTCCAAAAAGAATCCCCCTTCGGACAGGACTGTCCCTGCCAGCTCTTCTGTTCTTTTGATAAAGACACACAGACACCCTGGGGAAAAACCCAGCACCCCCTACTTAGCCTTAAGATGTCACTATTTTTTAAAACTGAATGAGTGAAAATTGTCAGAAGCCACATCAATAATTCCAGATATGTAGGTGATACCATCTCACTGGCAGAAAGCCGCAGTGAATTGAAATGGTTCCCAATGAAAGTGAGAGAGGAAAGTGCAAACTTCAGCTGAACATTAAGGAAACAGAAGGCATGACCACAGAAGGACTACAGAACTGTGCTGTCCACAAGAAACTGAAATTGTGAAATCTCACATACCTCAGCTCAGTCATCCATTCAAAGGGAGACTGCGGCCAAGAAATGTGAGGATGACGGAGCGTTGGAAGAGCACCGATGAAGGGACGAGAAAAGTTTATTAAGTGAACGGACACGTCAGGAAGTTTCGGAGGGTACCCATGCGCCAGGTTGACTTGACAGCACAGCACAACTAACGGCTTGGGACCAGGATACCTGAAGGAACATCTCCTTCCTTATATGCCCTGACGCCCCTTACGCGTAAGATCTCTGGAGAGGCCCTGCTCCGAGAACCCTCCCTAAGGGAGGTAAAAAGGACATCTACTCAGAGGAGGGTCTTCACTGTGGTGGCACCCAAATTATGGAATACGCTCCCCAGTGAGGTTCGCCTGGTGCCAAGCTTATATTCTTTTCAGCACCAGATGAACACCTTTTTATTTAATCGTTATTTTAAGAATTAGCATTTTCACCGATTCACAGTCGCTTTTGTTTTGTTTTGTTTTGATTGGATCTACTTGTATTGGGTTTGGTAATTTTATTGTATTGTTTTACTGATTGTTTTTATGCTTTTTGCTTTTAATCTTGTAAACCATCCTGAGACGCGATAGTGAAGGATGGCATAGAAATGCTTTAAAAAAAATAAGCAAGCAAGCAAGCAAACAAACAACACTTGTGTTCCGCTTCCCACTGTCTCAAGAATGCGCTCACCCCTTTCTGTGCCCAGTTTTGCCTAAAGATTGTTTGTACTTCAAGTAAAACATCCAGGGAATGCACAAGCAAAATAAAAGCATTTAGTGCTCAAAGCTTTACCTGCCACCATTTCGACCAATGTCCCTCCTATTTAAACCATGGCCAGCATTCAGTTCCTGCAGCAGGGTCATCTGCGTTCTCACACTCGGCCGCTGCACCAAGGACCTGGTGGCTGCGATGCATTACAGCCAGACATGGTCATACAGTCACAGTTTTGGCTTGCACAGGACACAGACCACAAACAGAACCATTAACAGTTTCAGCCTGCACAGAAACAGACACAGCAGCCTGACTTCTTGCCCATCTCCATTTTGCTACCATGGCCACCAGATGCTTCCTGCTTTCCCTTCACATAGGACTAACCCCCCCAGTTACAAGAACATCAGTTCCCCCTACTCTGAGTGGCGGGATCATCACCTGACTAGAAACCAGTGCCTGAGTTTGTCTTTCCTCCTTCTGCCCAACCCCTTTTCCTTTTGTGCTGTGTCCCTTCAACTTTAAACCTGAGGACAGGGAATTGCTTGTCCATGAACTTTAGAAATTATTCTGGGAGCCTTTTGCAGCTGAAGGAGAGTGTGCTACTTCAGGAGGATGCTCCTATTCAGCAGAGTCACCTGCTAGGAAAAGATATCCAGCCCAAGTGCAGCTGAAGATAAAGAAGAGGGGAGAGGGGCCAGATCAGCCTCGAAGTTGTCCCATCGGGCAATCTTATAATATTATTAATTTCACTTCTTCTCCTCTAGAATGAGAAATATTGTGCTCCTATTGAAATGATACTTTCCAAATCTGAATCTCAGGTTGTTGTTGTTGTTGTCAGTCGCGAAGTCGTGTCCGACCCATCGGGACCCCATGGACAACACTCCTCCAGGCCTTCCTGTCCTCCACCTTCCCCCGGAGCCCACCCACTGCCCCAGGGACCCCGTCCAGCCACCTCATATGTGGTAGACTTGGCATTGGCACGTTTTGTCCAAGTTCGTGTCCCTCTGCACTTCCCTCTTCTTTGACAATGCACAAGTGGCCACAGAGACTGAAGCGTTCAGAGACTCTTTTCCTCTTTGGCATGTGAGCACCAGTGGCCCTCTTTTGCAAGGGGCAGTCCTTTATCTGAGAAGCCGTCCTGCCCGATTCCAGTTGCCAGCTGAAGAACCATAAAGAGCACTGCCTGTCTCCACAGGGTCTCTCACTCCACCTGTCTGGTTCTGCTCCGCCACAGTGTAGTAGAGGACTATTTATATCACCGTTATATCAGTGTACTATTTATATCTATATTATATCAGTTATATTTATATCAGTGTACTATTTATATCACCGTTGTTCTCGCTGGATTTTCATCTGCGTGGAGAAAACAGCACACACAATTTCTGTGCCAATGCATATCCTCTGTTGTTCT